AGCTGAAGCTTTCCCTGCAGAGGATGCAGCCACGTATTGAGTCCTGAGCCCTGTGGCTAGAGCACCCGGGGCCTGCCACAAAACCCTTTCATCTGCGCGCTTTCATCTTTGTACATCATGGCCCCTGGGGGAAGGTCCTGCAGGGGCCAGCTCAGCAACAGAGGGAGGAGGAGCTCCTCACTGCAGGCAGGGGGTGCGGGGCAGCTGAGAGCTGCCAAGGCCGTGAGAGGGGGCCGGACCCATTGTATCCAAATAAACCATTCCTGGGACGCTTGGTATATAAATGACTTGGCCGTGACTATGATTTTTTAAATTCTGTGTAAAGCAGCAAAATAGAGCTAGAGGGAATTGTAATTTGGTTATAATTCAGGATTTGGAAATAAATTTATTGTTTGTAAAATGTTATTGCATTTCAGACTGTTCCTTTTTCCCTCACTGCCCTAAATCACGTAATAAATAACAAAATGGGCAGGACTCCGACTTGACTTTCCTTGGGTGGATCCTTCTAAAACCTCAGCTCGCCTTATTTCTGTTTTCCAGGTAGCGCCTCTCTGAGGAGGGTTGGCAGGGTGGGACATAGCTGGCAGGGAATGATAATGGCCTGGGGCCCTGGGCAGGCCAAACTCTGAGGGTGCCTTGCTCTTCCCCAGGCTGGTGGGCAGGGCAAGGCTGGCCAAATGGTCAAGTGGGAAGGAGGTGAGCAGCCGCGCACCCTCTGCCCTTCCCCAGGGGTGGGTTGGCTGCTGTATTGCTCAGAATGGCAGAAGTTTCTACTCTGCAGGTGAAAGGGTGACGTATTGGCAAAAATAGCATAAAATATTGCTTATTGATTTTCACATAAAAGATGATCCTTGTTGGATCATCTAGTCCTTTCTCTTGTTAAGCAGCTTATATCTGCTGAGGTGGCTTTTTGGGTATTTGGCCCTTTGCATCACCCATGGCCCTTATTTTATGATCCCCTGTGCGGGGCGGTGGGGGAGCTTCTGCCAGGCGTGCTGGTTGCAAGGTTCTGTGTTGGGGCTGAATCACTGATGGGCTTGGCCTGGGGCTCAGAAGCACCTTGATCCCAGGCCAGCGGTGCTCAGCTCCAGCCTCTTGGGTCATGCTGCTGACTATTCTACTCCCTTTCTCACTTTGTTCCTGGGATGTGAATTTAAAATTTAAGTCAGTTTTATGGATGAGTTTGGAAGCCTGGCTTTGCCAGCCAGCACCAGCTACCACCTCTACTTACATTCTTTTTACCTCTAACTGCCTTTATTGGGAATTCAGGTAGAAACTGACTTTTCATGGCTCTGGAGTGAAGAGAGGGCTTCTGGCTGCTCGTCTGGGAAGGCTTCTAATCTTGGCACCGGTTTGGAGGGCTAGCAGAACGTGTCTACCTGCTCTGTGGAGAGAAGTAAGCTGGGTATGTGATCTAGTTACAGACTTGGGCTAGGGATGCAACAGAACAGGGCAAAAATTGAGGTTCCAGTGAATATGGCTTTGTTACTAACAAACAGGCTGTGACCTTGGTCACGAACTTACCTTCAAGTTCCCTAGGTCACAAAAACGAAGCCAGAGGTTATAAAAGCCATGGGTCAACCCAGCCTTCTCATTTAAAAACAAGGAACAGGGGCACCTGGGTGGCTCAGTTGGTTGGGCGTCTGCCTTCGGCTCAGGTCATGATCCCAGGGTCCTGAGTTCGAGCCCAACATCGGGTTCTCTGCTCAGTGGAGAGCCTGCTGCTCCCCCTGGTTGTGCTCTCTCTCTCCCTCTTTCTCTCCCTCTTTCTCTCTGTCAAATAAATAAATAAAAGCTTAAAAAAAATAAAAATAAAAATAGAAACAAGGAACCCCTGGCAAGGACATCTGACACATACAGGTGCCACAGGCTGTGTGGGGAGGATCCCTGCCCCCCAGCAACGCTTCCCGAATCTGTTTTGGTGTTGGGAATTCCGCACAAGCGTCTGTCTGGACCTCTGACTCTCATGTTTTCTTTCAATAATGGACCTTTTCCATTCAGATCCACCTTAAAGTTCCTTCCAGCTTTAATAATCTGATTCTTACCACCTCTTCCTCAGATAATAACCCAACCCCCCTACCCTGCCGAGATACAAAGTATGTCTGTGACAACAGCCCTGAAGTGGGTTCTGGAGACCGGCTTTCAGGCTTCCTGGTGTGAGAGAACAGAGAGGCTGCTCAACTGGACATTTTTACGGGGCCCCCTGTTGCTCTCAGTCACATGCATCTCTCCTTAAATGCCTAGTTGATGGTAATGATACTTTAGACACATTAAAGGTGTCAGCAGTTGAGGGTCTCAGGCTGAGATGGGGCTCATTCTAGGGACCCCAGAGCTTGCTTGCCAGGTCCTGTCATTGTCAGAAAGCTTCCTTCTCAGCTGGGCTGTGTAGAGAAGGCTCAGAAGCCAAGTGCTTATGGGGCACCACGGTGGTTGCAGAGAGCTCCTCCTTCCCTTTATTAGGGAGGCAGGTTGCGGTGGCTGATGTCTGCTCTGGGTTTCTTCAGCTCGGGGGAGGAAATGATACTCCAGGTGGGCAGAAGAGGATCTCCTGCAAAGGATTCTGTGGGCCCCAGGTATCAGAATCTGAGTGACATCTTCCCACTGGGTGGCCGAAGCACTTATTTTACCGACAATCCCCTTGGCTAAAGTCAGTCCTAGCTTCATAGCTCTTTTTCCCTTTCTTTGGTTACTTCTTAGAGCAGTTGTAGGTGCGCAGTGAAATTGAGCGGGAAGTACCAAGATTTCCCATTTACCCTCTGCTCCCACACAAGCACAGTTTCCCCACTACGAACGTCCTACCTGAGTGGTTCATTTTTCACACTCGATGAACCTACATTGACACATTATCCCATAGACCCCATAGTTTCCGTGAGGGTTTACTCTTGGTGTTAGATATTCCGTGGGTTTGGGAAATGTATAATGACATGAATCTAGCACTACTGTATCATACAGAGACCGTTTCTATTATCAGCTGTTCAGACTAGCTTTTAGAAACCCCTTTGGTTATTTCTTAAAGAATTATAGTTAGCTTTCCTGCCCTTTGCCTTATCCTTAGAGAAACTACATTTCCCTAAGTTCAACCCCTCTATCCCATCAGATCTCCTCCCTGGCTGGGCTTGCAAGGCCAGATGGCTGGGTGACATATCCATGTTTTTCCGGCTCTGCTGCCCCTTTGCTTCCCATAACTCACTACCAGCTGTGCTCTGGTGTAATCACACCACAGGAAGTGAAAAATAACTTTGAAAAAATGTACCATATGCAAAGTATCCAGATACTATTGTCTCTGGCCAACATATATGATACCTTTTCGTAAATATAGAGACAAAATGCCTTTTTTTTTTTTAGTAGACTATACTGGGGATTTTAATGACATTGAAATTTTGTTTGAATAAATGGGTCACAGGCTAGAAGCAGGAAGTCATTTCATTAGTACCAGGTTCTTCACTTTTTGTTTCCTCTGGAAAATATATCCTTACTCTAAACCCGATGGGGGTACATAGTAAAAAATAAGCATAAATAGCAGACAACAACTGTCACAGCAGAGACTATCAGAGATGCCCGTCACCCCTGCCCCATGCTGCACTTCGAGTATTTGCCCTTGCCAAGTTCTGGCAGGGGTATGCTATATAACATGTCTTAGCTTTTGTCTGGCTGGGGAGGGAGGCAAGAATATTTAAGAATCCTTACCAACTAGTGGGTTTCTTCACTTCTCCTGCCCCCCTACCCTGAGACACAAACTCTTTCATTTCTTTTCCTTACTTTACCCTTAGTAGCTATTTCTCTCAATTTCCTACAGACCAAGAATATAAATTCCAGACATGTATTCAGTTTAACAAAATCCTACCACAATAAAATAGTTCAGCTGTCCTTGGAGTTTGTTGTAATGGAATTTTACTTGTATTGAGCTGGCTGGGGAGAAAAATAAAATTGTTAAAAGGAGAAATGTAATATGGCGGAAAGAAAGCAGATGGCTATCTCCCTCCTCCGCTCGGAAAATGCATCACTCATTTCCTTTCTTGTGCTTCTCAGGATTACTTTCCTTTTTGAGGTTTTTAAGATTTTTTTTTCTTAAATTCCAGATAGATGGAAAAAATAAAGGGGGAGCTAATTATCTCTTGCTGGTTTAAAAACTAATCCAGATAATCCAGAATCTTGCTTTGGGAATTTTAGCTGTCCGTATATGTGAAAGAGACTATGTCTTTTAGAATCCAGAGAAAACAGGGATGAACATGTTGTAGGGGGCTGAAAGGGGCAGAGATGTCTGCAAGACGCCAAGAGCTCACTGAGACTGCTATGCTCATGTCTTTATTTTAGAGTTTGGGTCTGGAGATGGTAGTATGGTTCCAATGCTCACTCCAACTGCAGAAAGTGGACAAAACTCAATGAAATGTTAGCATCTTGAAAAATAGGCAGGGACCTTGATGCATTCCTGTAAGAGCTGATCCAGGTCAAGAGAGAGGGGTGGAAAATCACTGTCCTCTGAAAAACGTACGTGGAAATGCTGCCCAGGGCAAGGTGCTGATTCTAGCAATATGAGGAACCTGAGGGAACAGGGAGGAAATGACAGTCTTGATTTGAGGAGAAATTAATGAGATGATTCCTCATGGCCGGGCAGCTCAGTTGTGGGGTGACTTCTTCCCTCTGGGGTAACATGGGGTCTATAGATGACAGAAAAGGCAGCTATGGATCCATGCTGTACAGGGGATCAGGGTGTTCTTGTGGGGTTTTCAGAACACATGATAGGAGGAAAATGTTTATTCTACCTGTTCCCCTCTTGCCCCCACACTCCCGAAAAGAGATTGGGTCAGGGGAAGGGATAGGTCTGAGATATGATGCACTTGGCTATCATCAAAGAGTCTTAGATCAGAACAAGTCTTAATTCACTCACCTGTTCCCACAACATATGAGGAAACAGTGATCTCTGGTCCAGAGTGGCTAAACAGAAGGTCTGTCCCCCAGTTCCTACTTGGGGATTGAATTCCCAATCCAGTGATCTCTTCTTGAAAAATAATGTCAGGCTGTTGCTATTTTTTTGAACCATGGGACTAAGAAAGATGACATCATATAAGTAGCAAAAGACAAATGGCAGACATACCTGAGCAGTGGGGTATCCCGACAAACTTGGTGATGTCCATTCTTTGGCTCACGTCCTGGGTCGTCCCCCTAAAGCCCAAGGTGGCACAAACTTTTCCCCTCTGTATGGGCTCCATCGTGCTTGGGCCTAGGGCTTTGGTGTATAGCCTTGGGTGTCCAGTTTTCAGCTTCTTCTCCTCTATCTCAGTCTTCAGTTTCTTGTTTTCCTGCTGCAGATGGACCATTACATTGTGGAGGTGGCTAGGGAAGGAGAGGGAAGGACAGGAGTTCTTTGATCTGCTTCAGTATCTTGGTTTCCCACTGGAAGGGGCAGATAAAGGCACCCCAGGGAGGAGGGCCATGGACATCCGAGCCCTTTCAGAGCTGGTGCTCTCATGTTCCATAGAAATGGAGGCCTATGTGTATCCCCTGGAAGAAGCCCAGGCCCAGGGTCGGGGTGGATCCCAAACCAGTACTTCTGAGCCTCTGTGTCATGTCAACTCAGGGCCTGTTTTCATATCTGTCAGATGGGGACAGTTGAGTCTCATCTGCCTTCTGCACTTCATATAAAGCTCCAGTTTGACAAAAGATAGGAATTTGATTTGAAGAGCTGTAGGGCTGTCATGAACAATCCCATGTGCCCGGGCTGTCCCGGCTGTGCCTGGGAAACACTCTCATCTGGTTCTGATGCCAAAGCCAAGTTCTTTCCCCTCCCTTTGCTGGAAGGTTGAGAGCACAGGGGATCCCAGCTCTGTTGAGACCTTGGGTAAGTAACTTGTCCCCATCTTACAGATGAAGAAATGGTAGCAGTGATGTAGGTGAGGTGAAAGAACTTAACATATTTCCTGTGGCTCCATAACTGGTCATATTTCTCCAAACCAATGTCGAGGGCAGTGGGTGGCCATGGGCTCTGGAACCAGAATTCCCAAGTTGGAATTCTGGTTCTGCCATTTACTTTTCCTGAGGCCATGGGCAAGTTATTTAGTCTCTGGGTTCCTCTCTTTCTTCATCCATAAATGGGGATTTTAATGGTACTGAACTCATGAGTTCTTATAAAGATTAAATAAATTAATACATATAAAGCACTTAGAACAGTGCTTCACACATGTAACAGATAAATATTATTTGTGTCATTATTACTATTATTATTATTAAAAGATGGCTTTTCTTCAAATAGGTTCAAACTCAGGAATGAGTTCTTTGTGAAACAGAACTTCCTGGAACTTGGCACATCATAAGAAAAAGCCTGAAATGCTCTGTTACCTTCAGATTTTTACAGTTTCTCTTTCAGCTAATCCCTTTTAGAAAATGCTTTTGTCCTAGTGAAAAATTTCATGGTCTTTTCTAGAGGGAAATCAAAGAATTCATTCTGAACTTTGCTGGGCCTGTGCTTTGCCCTCTTGCTCTCTGTAAACCTGGCCAGTGTTGAAGACACCCCTGGAGCTCCTTGTGTCATTGCCACACTCCATATGCCACTGGGCCTGCAGTTGGGGTCCTCACCATGCCCTCATTCTCTGGCTCTCTGCCACTCTCTCTGGCCCACTCCTGTCAGCATTCCCAATGCCTTCAACATGCTGTACATTCTATCCAAGCCTCTCAGTCCCTTGACTTCTATATTCCAATGATCTTGTCCTCTCCTTAAACTCAGCCACCATGGTCACAGCTCAGAACAGAGCTTTCCACCTGGGGCTGATGAGTGGGTTCTAGATGTGCTGAGATGTGGACACCCTCAGCTCTTGGGGCAGCCACTGGTTGGTCAACTTTGTCACAAACAACTCATCCCAAATTCTTCCACTGTGCCAAACAAATGTGATTATTTTCTAAGTGCTTCCTGCCAAAGGGTTGGGAGCCACTGCTCTAGAGCTTGTCATTATCTGTGACTATACCATCTCTGAAATCTCGGTTTTAGACATCCATACTTTCATCTCTGTTCCCAAACTTCCAACACTCCTCCCACACCACAGTCTGCTGACCCACCTTTGACCATGAGGATGAAGCATGGTCACAGGGGAGGGTGGAACAACAACGTGAAGGAACTTAGGTCCCCAAATGACCACGTGGGACAGAGGAACCCCACCAACCTGGACTGTTCACCTCCTAGGGTTGGTCCTTCCATGTTCTGTGTTCCTTCTTTTGGAGGTCTCTTTGTTACAGCAGCTTAGCCTCTACCCTGCCTTTCAGGTCCTGTTTCCTTCTTAGCATTTTTGTTCCCTGAGAATCACAGCAGGTGACGGGGGAAGGGGCATAGAGACTAGTAACCCCTTTCTGTATTGTTGGTGAGGGAAGGCCCAAAGAGGTGCAGTGATGCGCCCAAGGTCACATAAATGCAGATTCATGACCCAGAATCTTTCAATAGTCCCAGCCCTTCCCTGAGGTCAGATGCATGTATTTAATGATAAAGCCAGCCCTGGCTCATGGCTGACCCTTCTCCTTAGGGCCCAACAGCAGCCTGGGTTGTATGGGATGACTTACTCCTTTTCACCAGTCAGCTTGGCAATATATTTGACCTGCTCACGGAGCTTGTTTCCTAGTTTCTCATTGGCGATCCTGTAATAAAATCCATAAGAGAAAGTTCTCAGACCCCCATGAGGAAGAGCACGAGTTGGATGGCTAGGAGGTTGGTGTTCTCAGCAAGGTGTCTGCTGAGCCCTAGACTCCAGCTCATTACCCACTCCCCAGAGCTAGAGCCTCACTAGCACCTGGCAAATGAGGGAAACTTCCATTCTCAATTACTATGCAAAATCACTGTGATCTCAGGTAAGTTCAAGGGATCCAGGCAGGGAAGCCAGATTCCAGGTTGGGGAGAGGAAATCTGACCTACAGCAAAGCATCCCTTTTATCTTGGAGCTGCTCTGTTTCTAAGCCAGCAGGTCTTCCTGATTCTGCCTGAAGAGTTGAGGCCCCTCCATCTTATTCCCAGCTCTTGAATGTGGGCTATTACTGAATTCATTTCCCTAGAGGGCAGTGTGTGTGTGTGTGTGTGTGTGTGTGTGTGTGTGTGTGTGTGTGTGCGCGCGCGCGCGTGCGTGTGTATGTGACACTATTCTTTGGCACATGTGCAGTTTCTCAGCTCAGCCCAGGCCTTGGAACACTGACTTACTTTATAATTTCTTACTTACTTCTGCTCTTTTGCCCATTGCTCCATGTTGGACATAATCTGATCATTCTCTCGGCGTAGCCTACAGGTGTCTTTAGCCGTAGACCGCTGGGGCACACAGGCAGGCTTTGGTACAAGAAGAAAATGAGATGGTTGGGGAGGGGGAGGAGCATAGGCCTGTCACCACCCGACTCCCAAATCAGGTCTCTTCTCTCTTCCTGGAAGAAGAAACATTGGTTCTGCTGACCAATCCCTAGGCCAGAGTTGGACCTGCCAGCATCTCTACCTCCAGCAGTGCATGCACACAAAGGTGACATCTCTGAGCAGGGCACTGTTTATAGTAGAGACAAAGTAGATGTGTATACTTACAATAATGATTTTTGTGCAAAGGCATTAAAACATCTTGCTTTTAAAAAGCAATATGTTAAGCCAATTTTTTAACAGATGGAAGAAAAAATATCTTGAGGAATGGATGCCTTTTTTTCTAATGCAAGCAAAGGTCCTGTGGCTACACCAAGAGATCCTGCCATGAACTTCACTGCTCAGGGACTGGGGCATAAGGCATGCTCAAAGATCTCTTAGCAGATTCTACTGCAGGGTAAGTGAAAATGTCAGGATGGGCTCTGGAGGAGGACTGCCCAGGGGGTTATCTAAGTCAGGGATGGCTGGTATTCCTGACAGGGAGATGGCACTCTCTTCTCTGGAATGGGCCTTTGTTCGCTCACTATCTCTATCAACGAAGGCACAGGAAGACAGTTGGGTTGAGACAACTGCTGTGGGCCTTAGCGCACCCAGACCCTATTTTGTACTGAATAGAGTGGGCTGGGGGTGTCCTTTCCTTGCTCTTAGGCACCCCCTCCCCCACCAAGCTTGGTCTAGTATCCAGGCGGTCGTGGATGTGCTGGGAGGGTCTGGGAGGAAGTGACCGGAAGCTGAGGAGTGCCCACCTCCTTCTCATCTGCCAGGAGGTTCTCTTTCAGGGCGGCCATTTCCTCCTGGAAGGCACGGAGCTGCTCCTCTTTAGCTGCCAGCATCTTGAGGTCACTCTGGTGCTGCTTCTGCCACTGCAACACTTGGTTGCTCATCTCCTCCAGCTTCTTGTCGAAGGCTTGAACCTGCTCAGGGGTGCAAAGTGAGGAGGGAGACCCCGGCTGGCGGGCTGGCGGGCTGGCCGCCCTGAGCCCAGGGCCTCTGTGACGAGGCAGGAAGGCGCTTTCTAGGCTTTGAGAGACTCCTTAGGGGGCATTTTACTGCCAATACCAGCAGAGGGCGCCCCTGGCCGCCTTTGCCTGAAGCTCCCTGAGCCAGCAAATGGAGAACCCGTTAGCTAAAGGGAATGGCTCTGTACTAAAGAGCTCAGGGGCAAGAAGAGAGAGACCCTGGGGACCTGGAACAGGAAGATAGCCTGAGCTCCTGGCTGCTCCTCACCTCTAGCTCGCTCTGCTGTTGGAAGCCCTGCAGTTTTTTTAATTCCATGTTGAGCTTTTTCATCCTCTCCTCGTAAGCAATGATTTCATCTTCTAGCTGAACTTTCCTCTCTTGGGCCTGTGCCAAGGTTCGGTGCAGGCTCTTGGTCTCTGAGGTCGTATGATTGAGCTTCCATAAAGACAAAGGGGATAAGAATGGCTGTCACAGTTCTTTGGCCCATTCTATTGAGTGCTGAATGGAGAAGGGTTCCAGTCCCTCCCCATCCTCTGCTCAGGGTAGCAGACACCTGGTCACTTGCCTAGTGTCCCAGGGAGGGGTGGGAAGTGACAGTGGTTGATTTTCTACATCTTCGTTCCCCTACCCCATTTCCTCTTTTTCCAGTTCTCTGATCAGCTAGGCATGATCAGCACTGAGTGGGGCACAAACTGCCCAGACAACTTAGGTTTTGGGAAAACTTTGCCCCTGGATCACCTGTGGGCAGAAAGACTCATTAGATTTGGCCTCGTTCTTTGTGATCCCTTTCTCCCACCCCAAAAAAGCCTCACTATGAGGAGGCAGGCCTTCCCTGGAAGGACATCCTAGCTCAGGATGCAGATGGTCCTGGTGATAGCCAGTTGTGCAGGGGATTGACTCTTGCACTTCTCGAGCTACTCGGACATTTCTTTGCCCCAAAAAGCCCTGGAGATGAGAGGGTATGGCTTACCTTCTCGAGAGTTTGTGTCAGGTCATCTTGGCAGGCGATTGACTTTCGGGACAATTCCTCATAGGCTTCTTTACTGACCATGGTCTGGAGATATTGCTTCTCCTTCTGCACAGCCTTCTCCAGCTGGACCTGCAGACTCTCTAAGGCCTCCTTCTGAAGGACTAGCTTTAGGAGGGGGAACATCACTATCAAGGTTCATACCTACAGAGGTATCCTCTGTGTCTACAGGAAATGGACAAGAGCTGGGCTCTTCCCTCTGTACTAACAGACAGAGCAGTCTGTGATAAGGCCCCCACCCTCCCCTCACTGTTATAAAAAGAACAGCTGCCTTTCCAGGCTCTTCTGCACCCCTCTCCTCACACTTCCCCTTCTAAGTTAGCAGGTCCCCCGCAAACAAGGAGTACCGGCAGTACTGGGCCATGATGTATCAAGTACATGAATAATCCCTTTCACAGACTCTGTCGTCTTTAATAAAGATCTGGAATTCAGTTCTAGTTTAGGAACCATGATACAACGTTTCATTTGTACATTTTATGCCTTTCTTAGTTCCTGACATAATCCACTAGACTTGCACCATGAAAGCAGGACTGTGTTTACTTCCTTCATTGTTGTATCCCCACTGCCTATAGCTCGGGGCATGGCCTATAATATGTGCTCAGTAAATACTAAATCATTGTTTTTGACTGAATGAAATATTTTGTATGGCAATGTTTGGAATTAGGGATGCACTGAACATGTGGTTCTGGTAAAGCATGTTTAAAAACTGAAGTCTGTGTCTTAAACTTAGTAATGAGTAGGTACTCATGCTATAGTTAAAAGGAATTGAGATCTGGAGTTAGAGGTTGTGGTTCTGTCATTTACTTAATCTCTCTGAGCCTCAGTTTCCTCTTCTGCAAGCCAGTTACTTTCATCTGTTTCATAGAGTTTTGGTGATGATCAAATAAGATTATATAGTTTGTAAAAAGGGCTTAGTAAGGTATAAATTACTACCTAGCTGTGAATACGGTCATGAACATGCTAAGTAACTAGCCATGTTATTAAATACTTTTAAGTACAGGGCAGAGATCTACTTCCAAATCTGGAAGCAGAAGGGAGACCTTAGAAATTCACATGCCCAACTTCTGTTCTTTGGTATTTTATCTGTTCTTTGATATTTTAATACACCCCCATCCACATAGAAACATACTCCATTGGGTTTTCTTCAGTAACAGCTCCGTGCTTGAAGTTTATTATTTTTTCAGATGGAATTTTGAGTATCCTGAACTCTAAGAACTGGTGAGATGAGAAGTGTTAGATTGTACTGCTGACCCTATATTTACGTGTCCCGGGAATGAAACCATTCCTAAAGATAAAATAATTTGGTCTTCTGGAAAAAGAAATGCATCTTTTTTGGGGACTTCTGAAAACATAGAGTCAACTGGTCTGCCCAATAAACCAGGGGAATCACTGAAGAAACTGTAACTCACTAAGCTCTTGATAATTGGTGGCCAAATCAGGAAATGTCATCACAGAGGCGAGATAACAAAAAGAAAGGTGGTGACATAAATCACAGAAGCTTAATTAATTGATTTTGTATTATTTATTTATATGTAATAGATATATATTATTTATCATTTGTATTATTTATTGTTTTTATTTTTAAAAAATTAGCAGCAAAAAAAAAAAAAATTACCAGCAAAAGATGGGTTTATTTGGGAATGAAAGTGAATTGCAATCTGGGACAAAGAAGCTGTGGCAAAACCACAGGGAAATCTGGGGAAGAAAGGAGGGGTATGTTTTTTTAAGGAGAAAAGGGGTAATTTGGGAAGACTGTTATGAACTAAAAGTCCATTGGAGTTTGGAGGCTTTATTTTAAATTTCTCTAACATCAGTGGTTTAGCTTGGAGAAAGATACTGAAAACCTGTATATAGATATATGTAAATTATACAATCAAGGAGTTTTAATAAAAGTTCTCATAAAGATGTACTGTCTCCCTCACCAAAAGCATTAAGCCTAGATGGTTTTAAAGGTGGGTTTCATTAAGTCATCCTTGATTCCTTGCTTCCTCTCACATTCAGTCCATCATTAGTTTGGTCAATTCTGCTGCCAAAACACATCATGAATTTGCTCATTCTGTCTTCACTGATGCCACGCTAGCTTGAATGGCAATAGTCTCCTAACTGGATCCCTCATTTCCATACCTACCCCTCTCTGCAATAAATTTTCACATATTAGTCAGAGTTATATTTTTAAAACTTAGCTCAAATCACCTCTCCAGCCCCTTTAAGGAAATTTCATCAATGTCTTTTCATTGCTCCTAGAATAAAACCCTAAATTGCTTAACAGAGGCCACAATGTCTACCCCTACCTATCTCTCTACTCTCATCCTATACCAATCCTCCTTGATTACTACACTCCAGTTATACTGGCCTTATTTTACTTCCTAGAACATTCCAAGTATTGTTTTAAAAGAGTAATACATGATGCACCGCCGGGACTCATACTGGGAACACAAGGATGGGCCAAAATAAGGATCAATTAATTAATTTTATTCACCATATTACAAAGAACCTCATACCAAAACAGTTGTATTCTATTAATGTTAAAAGCAAGAAAAGGATGCTACTGTTAAACACCAAACTGTAGGTACTGTCCAATGCAATAAGGCAAAAAAAAAAAGGATAAATATTACAAAGGTTTAGAGAATTGTTGTTGCTTGCAAATGATATAATCATCTACCTAGAAAATCCATGAGAAGCAACTGAAAAACTATTACTGCTTAGAAGTGAGTTCAAGAAGAAGTCCAAATACAGAATAAGTATGTAAAATAAATTAGCTTTCTTATTAACAGTAATTAATTATAAAATGTAGTGGAAAAATATCCTTGAATCAGAGATGAAAAAAATCTCAAGATCTATTGCTTTCAGATGGTAACTTTAAAAACTGAAATATGGAATACTGATGAAAGAAAATGCATTTTAGAATGCAAAACTAAGTCTCTTTCTAATGACTGTTTCAACTGATAATACATCTACTATATACGAGGTATGCGTTTAAAAAGTTGAACATGCTTATACACACAAAAAACCCCCTCTAGTCTCCTGATTTCCATCAACAAATTCTGAAATGAATGCTTTTGCTTCCACACTTACATGGCTATCTTTCTTTTGGCAAACATGATAATAGGTCCATATTAAATACTAAGGTAATATCCCTTATATTCAGGGAGGTTCCTTGGGGGTCTCAGTGTCTCAGACCTTAACTGTGAACCACAGCAAAGGAGAGATTTATATCGTGGGAGGACAAAACCCCAGAAATGTCAGTTTCTGTGCTATCTAATATGGTAGCCGCTAGCCACATGAGGCTATTTACATTTAAATGAAACTAAAATTAGTTAATATTAAAATTAAAAATTCAGTTCCTTAGTCATACAAAGCCATATTCCAAGCAGTCAACAGCCTCATATGGCTAGTAGATATTGTATATTAGAGAGCTCTCATATAGAACTTTTCCATCATCACAGAAAGTTCCACTGGGCAGTGCTGTTCTTATACTTTGCATAGTCCACAATATTTTAAGACTAACATTTTTTTCTTCTTAAATTACCAAGGAATCAGAGCTGCTTTGTCTTTCATTTGTAACCCAAGAGACCACCTATCAAGATGCTATATTTGTTTCCTGAAGAAGGATGAAATATATTCAGTTAGGGAAAGTACTGCTGTTCATGATGAAGGGGAAAGAGGTTAGGTGTCAGAGCTAGATGATCCAGGTGCAAACAGTGGTCCATCTCATCACTGACTGATCAGTTACCTTGAGCCCCAGCCTTCCTTTTCTCTGTAAAATGAGGATCATAGTAATCTCTATCTTGTTGGGAGTCAAGCAGATGGAAGGCATGTGAAGGACATAAGTAGACAGTCAATAAATGATGACTGACTTCAAGCATGGTGCCTGTATTTGTTAGCTGCCATTTACTCTTTTCTGTCATCTTTATTTGTGTAATGATAAATAGCTGTCTCCCTTTCCGTCCCTTTTTTTGTGCTTTGGCACCATTTTTGGTAGTGTTCCCTAGCCAATTGCCCCAACAGTGGACTCACTCAAGTCTTGTCTGAAATGTTGCTGTGGAATATTGCTGCCAAAGCCCAGGAAGTTTGGGCGCTCCAGCAGATATTACATAAGACCTTCCACAAGTGGAAGAAACGTTTCTTTGGCTAAGCAAGTGGGTGCGGGAGGGTTACCCCCACTTCAAGGAGAGAAGTGGAGTTAGAGGCACCACAGGATGCACGTGGGCTGGGCATTTAGCTGCATTTCTGTGGTGGAGGAGAGATAAGTACTGATTTCAGGTCAAGGGTCCCAGGGTTCAAGTTTCTCACTCCCTCAGGGTTTCTGTCAACTCACCTCATTATTTAGCTCTTGGATGACTTGCTGGGAGGCGTTTTGTTTGCTGAGAGAGGACTCCAGCTGCGCGGAACATTGCATCAACTGTGCTTTGACAGTCTCATTTTCCTCCTCCAACATCCTCAAATTTTCCTTTGTCTGCTCCCCCATTAGAGAACAAAGCCCAGAAAAGAGGTGTTACCTCAGGCTCCCATAGAAGCCTGCTCCTCCTGCCCATGCACACAACTCCATGCTGCAGCCTGTGGTGTCTTGGGCCTTCTCTCTCCTGCTCACTTGCCTTTCTTACCTTCCCTCCCTTCTCTCCTAAGGTTTGAGCCCCCACGGCCTCGGTATCCTGCCAGGCTCAGTGGGGCTCAAGCCTTGCCCTGGATTCATGAACCCAGCTCTTCTTCTGGACTCTCCTTCTCACCATTTTTTCTTTCTTTTTTTCCTCCTGTCGGAATGTCTCAAGCTCTTGCTCCAGCAACTTCTCCTGTTCTTTGCTCTTTTTCAACTGCTCCCGTTTTTCCTCCAGTAATCTTGTCACCTCCTGAAGCTCCTCTGTTAGACTGCTTTTGGCGGAGGCTTGCTCTCTGTGCTGAGAAATAAAGACTGGCCTGAAAGAGGGCACCTGGGTGGCTCAGTCAGCTAAGAGTCTGCCTTCGGCTCAGGTCATGATCCCGGGGTCCTGGAATCAAGCCCAAATCCGGCTCCCTGCTCTGCAGGGAGCCTGCTTCTCCCTCTCCCTTGGCTCCTGCCCCCACTTGTGCTTGCTCTCTCACATAAATAAATAAATAAACCCTGTTTTTCTTTTTCTTTCTTTTTTTTTTTTTTTAAAGATTTTATTTATTTATTCAT